TTTGGGCACTGAAGGCTCCCCGCGGATAAGGCCCTGCGGTGCGACTCCTGTATATGATGGTGGCGTTAGTGGGCCGGGCGAGGCTGATTTGTGGCTCTGGGGAGGGAAGCAAGCAGGAAGTGGTGGGAGTGAGCTGGGTAATGGGACCTAGGGCCTTGGCGGACGAGATAGGGACTGGTTAAGTGGCATCGAGGTTAGAATTACCACACGCGCGTTGAGAGGGAGTCAGACAAAGATCAAGCTTTCGAAGGGCTCTCGTCGGCTTTAGGGTGCATGGGCTCTGGGCCTCTCACGCAGGGAGGCCCCTTCCGCCGCTGGAGGGCCTGGTCCCTTAGCATCGCTGAGAGGAAGCAGGCAGGGCCAGCCAGAGGCAGCTCTGATAGAGCGGAGCAGTGGAACTCCCACAGAAGGAACTGCAGTTTCCCAAAGCCCCAAACCGCCCTGGCTCAGGGCACCCACACCCCACTGCTCTCACCAGAAGCACCACCCTTCAACCCTTCCGTCACTTGTTCTTTAGGACTTAGAGGGCATCTCGCCACCTTAATTATATGACTGCAGCTCCTAGACTCTCTCATTCTATGGGCAGGGGCGGGTCTGGCTCACCCTAGTGTCTCCGTTAACCCAGGGCCTTCCAAAGAGCAGGTGCTCAATGGATACTTGGGGAACCAATGTGCCAGGGAGCAGGGGCTCTTATTTATTGAGATTAAATTTCTCCTACATTCTGAAATAAGACAAGAAAATTCACATACATGCATACATTTTAATTTCATAGAAAAACACATGAAAAGGAATAAGCTGCCAAGAAATAACTGTCTTTAAATTTTATTGCTCTATTTCATAGCTCCATATATTTAAATGCAACATTCTTTCACATTTCTAAGAAAATTCCTATTGCAATGAAAATTCCAATTCCACCTTGTTCCAAGCAACAACATGAAATGGAAGGTTTCCTCGTTCGTTTTACAAAACAGTGAACTCTTACATTTGATAAAATTACATGTGTGGTCAATATCATTCACCAACTTAGGTGGTGAAGCTAACTAAATCTTCAATGAAAAAGAACAAATTTTTTAAAATGCCAAAAGGAAAACAAACGTCAATTTCTAAGTCACCCAAATGTAACAGGAGCACAAAATGTTATGCTCTGGTGGTTTCCCCAAGCTACTCGGACCCTCCACTACTTAAAACACTGCCTGCTCTCTTCAAACACAGAGTAGAGAGAGGACTCATTTCTCATGGGGCAGGAGGAGCTGCTGGAAGGGGACGCGGATGTGCACTGGCCCTGGGCCCTCCCCCCATAGCTGGCTGCAACTCTTGCTCACGCCCCCTCTTCCTCATCTCTCACAGACTCTTCATACAGGAGTGGGAAGGATCTGTGATCGCTCCGATTGACCTTGAGCACATACTCCAGGACTTTCATCTTGCTGGTTTCCGCATGGGCCCTTGGACCCCACAGGAACTCATAACATGCAGGATCGCTGTCGGGCACCTGCCGGTATTCCAGGTACCCTTCCTGCACCCAATCCTGGGTGATGAGCTTCCGGGGCTCCCCGTAGATATAATGCTCACTCCCAGCATGCACCCCCATCCCGCCCAGGGCTTCCCAGATGACCTCCTCCGGGGCGCAGTCGCCCTCGAAGAGGATCAAACCCAGCATGATGATCAGGAGACCGGACTTAGGAAAACGCTGGTCATCATTCAGCTCCTCATAGTAGGTGAGGCCCAGGGTGGTGACGAGAACATAGGAGTGGCCGGCAGGATCCACTTCCTTCACATCCACGCCAAAGACCATCTGCATGCACTCGGACGCTTTCATAAAGATCTCAGGGAAGTGATCTTGGTAATCATTGAGGACAATATTCAGCATTTCTGCCTTGGTGATCGGATCCTTGAAGCGATACTTGAGGAGCAGGAAATGAACCAAATCAGACATCCTCTCTTCTAGTGCCTCTTGCAGCACGGACCGGGCTCTGATCGGATCTCAGGAGTACTCTGCCCCTCCTCTTCTTCGCTGCTGGATCCCTCATCGGAGTGGTGCTCTGGACTGGAGGCCGGGTCCGATGGATCCTCAGGAGTGCTCGGCCCCTCCTCTTCTTCGCTGCGGATTCTCATCGGAGTGGTGCTCTGGACTGGAGGCCGGTCCGATGGATCCTCAGGAGTCCGGCCCTCCCTCTCTTTCGCTGCGGATCCTCATCGGAGTGGTGCTCTGGACTGGAGGCCGGTCGATGGATCCTCAGGAGTGCTCGGCCCCTCCTCTTCTTCGATGCTGGATCCCTCATCGGAGTGGTGCTCTGGACTGGAGGCCGAGTCTTCTGGATCCTTGTAAGTGCTTGGCCCCTCCTCTTCTTCACTGCTGGATCCCTCATCGGAGTGGTGCTCTGGACTGGAGGCCGGGTCCGATGGATCCTCAGGAGTGCTCGGCCCCTCCTCTTCTTCGATGCTGGATCCCTCATCGGAGTGGTGCTCTGGACTGGAGGCCGAGTCTTCTGGATCCTGTAAGTGCTGGCCCCTCCTCTGCTTCACTGCCGGATCCCTCATCCGAGTCGTACTCTGGACTGGAGGCCAGGCTAGTGGGGGAGGACGAGTCTCCCTCAGGACTCCCGGGAGGACTCGGTGTTTCAGCAGCACCAGCCTCCTCCAGGATGCTGGGGATCACAGTAGAGGAGGTAGCCACCTCCTCCTCCTGAGCCCCGGGAGCTTGTGCACCTACCAGGCCCTGAGCCACCCTTTGGGCCTGAAGGCCTTTCTCAAGACTGCCGCACTGATTTCTTTGATCATCGTGGTGGTGAGGCATGATGGCTCTGGTCAGGTACAGCACACAGGAGTGTGGGCAGGAGATGGGTGATGGAGACACACAGGCCTGAGAAGAGAGGGGGCATGTCAGCGGCCTCAGTGAGAACCACACCCTGGGGACTCTAACAAAGGCCAGTCTACAAGCCTTCTCCTTAGGTGATGCTCTGGGCCTCCCAGGGCTCTCTCCTGGCGGCTTGTCTCCTGAACGTCTCAATGAGGAAGCAATGGCTCCCAGAGGGCAGCAGGCCGGCAGAGCACGAGGCTCCAGGGCTGACAGTGGGTGGTGATGGGGTCAGCACTATTGGGTCCCCTGTGTCCTGGGAAAGGCAGGGCCTCTGGCACACTTCAGGGTGTGCGCCTCTCACCTTGACTCTGACACTGCCTGGCCTCGGTGACCTGCTACACTGCTCGTGACCTGAGGACACTGCCTCAGCCCAAGGTCTCACTGTGGGCTCCTGAAGCCCATGTAAGAGGAAGTGAGTGCCCAGAGGCTGCAGATACACACACAGTCCTGGTTCCCTCAGTGCTGTCAGGAGCTTAGGCTGGCTCTCTGGTCCCACTGTCCTGGGGTACATGGGCCTTTTGTGCTGACTCAGTTTTCTCATCTGTTGCCTGAGGCCCTAGACCCCACCCCTCTAGTGGCCTGCAAACTCTCAGAACAGGAGCTCACATCCCTGATACGGAGCAGAAGCAGTGAGTGGGCCCACATCTGGCCACGGCTGCCCAGGGCTCTGAGACAAGACAGCAGGTGGTGGCCAGATTCAGTGGGGTCCGTATGTCCTCGGGGAGGAAACTGCTTGGTCCTCACCTTGCTGCCTGCCAGGGACTGGGACCCTCCCTCTGCTGACCTGTGTGTAGCCCCCTCAGACCAAGGCCTTCACCTCCCTGACAGATGATCCAGATATGAGAGAGGGGACCTCAGCCTGATAGCTTTGTGCAGGGTTTCCAGGGCTGTCAGCAGGGCCAGGGCATATTTCTGTAGAGCTCCTGGCAGTGTTCTAGGCTGGGGTTAACTTCAGTCCTCACTGGCTAGGGTGCACACATGGGGCCTTGTAGATCCTGGGACTCCTCCCTCTGCTGACAGTCCTTGTCCCTCTGACCCAGGCTGTCACCTCCCTGAGACCCAGGAGACAGGAGGGAGGTGCAGCACACAAGACACCCTGTGGTGAGTTTCCCAGGCTCACAGAAAAAGTGGGTTTCCGGGGGGACGGGCCTCGTCTGTCGACAGTGTCCTCAAGGTACTCATATTTACCCCTCACAGGGACTGGACCTTTTCCCATCGGCTGACCTGCAGATGCATCTTGCAGCCAAGGCCACCATCTCCCTGAGAACCCAAGGAGAAGTGTGGGGCCACGTCTCTCCCCCAGTCCTGCCCCGGCCTCCCAGGGCAGAGAGCAGGGGCAGGTTTTCCATGTCTGGGATGGGGACCGCCGAGTCCTCGCTCTGGACCCTGGGACTGCTCCCTCTGCTGAACTGAGGCCCACACCTCTGACCAAGGCGTGCCCTCCTGACACCACGAAGGCAGAAGCAAAGACACACCGCATCTGGCCACGCTGCCCAGGCCTCCCAGTGCTGAGGTCCCCCTTGTACTGGGGATAAGTCCTCATTGTCCTCCTCTGCCTCTCCCATTGTCCCTGGCAGGGCCTGGGTCCCCACCCTGCATCCTAACCCATCAGATTCCAAGGCTGAATTCGGAGGCATCTCAGTCTAAAGTCTGTTCAAGGCCTCCCAGGGTCACAGAAGGGACAGGGGTGATTCTATGGGGTCCTCAGTATTGCCTGGGGCCCTACACCAGGGCTTCCCAGACTGACAGCACGGACAGAGCTGGATTATTCGGGCCCCTCAACCTGCGTGGGGGCCCCCTCAGTCCACCCTCAGCATCTCACCTTGACTTCTAACAGAGCCTGGGCCCTCTCCCCTCAGCTGACCTGGAGTCTCTACCTCAGACCAAGGTCCTTGCCGCTATCAACCCCTGGAAGAAGTCGGTGGACGTCACATCTGGCCCCCTCACACCGGGGTTCCAGGGCTGACAGCAGGGACAAGGATGGACTGTGGGGCCCCTATAGGGGTGTAAGGGGGCTCTCTGTCCTCCCTTAGGGCAAGACCTTTATGCTGCTGATCAGACACCGGTGACACCAGGCTCCGACTCCAGAGTCCCATAAATCCTAAGGGAGAGGGGCTCAGCCTGACACGTCTGTGCCGCGGTGGTCCACCGCTGGTAGCAGGGGCACAGCTGGAGTATTTGGGGACCTCTACCTGGGCGGGTCCACTCAGTCCACCTCATCATCTCACCTCACTCCTAACAAAGGCTGGGCCCTCTCCCCTCCGCCAACCTAAAGTCCGAATCTCAGACCAACAACCTTCACCTCCCTCAGGCCCCCCAGTCGGACGTCGGTGGATGTCAGATCCCGCCCCACCCCAACAATCGGGGCTTCCCAGGGCTGACAGTAGAGGTCGAGATGGATTATTTGGGCCCCTCTACATTGGGGTCGGGCCTCCTCAGCCCACCCTCGTCATCTCACCTCACTCCTAACACAGCCTGGGCCTTCTCCTCCCGGTCTACCGGAAGTCTGGACCTCAAAGGCCCTCGCCTCAGTCAGCCCCCTGGCGGACGTCGGTGTATGTCACATCCGGGCCCATACCAGGGGCTTCCCAGGGCTGACAGCCAGGCAAGGATGGACTGTGGGGCCCCCTATCGGGATGTGGCCCAGCCTGGATCCCCCCTCTATGGACCGTAGTCGGCCTGGGTCACACCAGGCTCTGACCCCCAGAGTCCTCTGAGGAATAAGCTGGGGGAGGGCTCAGCCTGAGGCGTCTGTCGCGGGGTGGTCCACCGCTGACAGCAGGCGGGGATTATTTGGGGACCCTCTACCTGGGGTGGGGCCTCCTCAGTCCTCCCTCAGCGTCTCACCTCTCTCCTAACAGAACCTCGGCCCTCTCACCTCTGAGCACCTGAAGTCTGGATCTCACACCAAAGGCCTCGCCTCTGTCATCCCCCCAGGCGGAAGTCGGTGGACGTCACATCCTGGGCCCGATATAATGGGTTCCCAGGGCTGACAGCAGGGGTGGAACGGGATTGGTGGTGGGAGGCCTCAGTCCCCTCAGGGTCCCGCCCCTGATGCCTGGCAGGGCCGGGCCGCCCTCTCTGGACCTGACAGGCTCGGGTCTCACGAGGCTCTGACTCCCGGAGTCACCTGAGGTGGCCGTTGGGGGCAGTGGTCAGGCGGGGGACATGCCGGGTGTCCCAGGGCTGCCAGCAGGAGCCGAGCAGGACCCTGTGGGCCCTCTCTGTGGGGCGTGTGGACCCTCTGTCCTCACTCCTGAGGGTCCTCATCGTGGTTTCCTGCTCTTTGATTAAGTGCCCGGCGAGCGGTCCCTGTCCCCGCCACCCCTGAGCATGGGCTCAGCTGCAGCCCTTGCCGAGAATGTCTGCGGGTCCCAGGCCGGATGTCGGTGGCCACGCCCGGGATTGCAGTGGCCTGTGGGACAAGACGGGCACCTTCCCGCCGGGCTCTTCCCCGGCCACACGTATACTTTGAAACCTTGTGTTCTAAAGGATTGATTTTATTTTATTTTATTTTGTATGTATATATGTATGTATGTATGTATGTATTGAGACAGAGTCTCGCTTTGTTGCCCAGGCTAGAGTGAGTGCCCTGGCGTCAGCCTAGCTCACAGCAACCTCAAACTCCTGGGCTCAAGCGATCCTGCTGCCTCAGCCTCCCGAGTAGCGGGAACTACAGGCATGCGCCATCATGGCCGGCCCAGGACTATATTGTTTCTCTATATATTAGTTGGACAATTAATTTCTTTCTATTTTATAGTAGAGACCGGGCTCGCTCTTACTCAGGCTGGTTTGGAACTCCCGACCTCGAGCAATCCGACCGCCTGGGCCTCCCAGAGTGCTAGGATTACAGGCGTGAGCCACCGCGCCGGCCAGGATTTATTTTATATAGGGAAGAAAGCTGAGCAGCTGGGGGCGGGAGGGGATTTAAGGAAGTTCTGCCTTTTCTTTTTTAAGTTATCTGACATTTTTTTTCTTTCGCTCTGTCGCCCCAGGTAGAGTGCAGTGGCGTCGTCATAGCTCACAGCAACCTCAAACTCCTGGGCTCAGGCTATCCTGCCTCAGCCTCCCAAGTAGCAGGGACTACAATCTGGCGCCCACCCCCAACCCCCCACCCCACCCCAGCTAATTTTTTTCTAGTTTTAGTAGAGACGGGGTTCTCTCTCTTGCTCAGGCTGGTCTTGAACACCTGAGTTCAAGCGATCTTTCTCCCTTGGCCTCTCAGAGTGCTAGGATTACAGACGTGAGCCACCGTGCCTGGCCTTAGCATTTTCACCATGAACTCTTTTTACGTTTCTTTCAAAGAATTTTTCTGTATCCATGATGGGATTATATGTTTTTCTCCATGATCTTGTTAACATAGAGAATCACAGTTGAAAGTACTTTTAAATATCAAATTGTACTTTCATTCCTTGGATGCATCTGTTTGCCCACTTAATACACTGCCATGTTGAATTTGCTATTGATTTGTTTAGAATATTTGCTGCTCTGTGAGTGATTCTGGCTTCAGTGTTCTTTTCATGGTGAGGTCCTACTCTGGTATTTGAAAAAGGAATACTAGTCTGGGAAAATAAATTGCACAATTGCCCGTCATTTTTTATAATTTGAAAGGGTTTGCTAAGGATGGCAATGAGTTCTTTCTGCTGATTTGGTAAAAGTGGCCTCCAAAACATCCTTTTCCTGGATCATTTGTAGGTAGGTTGGGCTGAGACTATAGTTTTGGTTTGTAATGCTCAGTTAAAGTGTTTTATTTCTTTATGGATCAATTTGGTCAATCTTTTCCTAAAGTAGAGGCCATTTCCCTTAAGATTTCAAATTTAATGGCATGATATTTATAATAGAAACTTTTTATTACAGAATGTCTCAAACATGTAGGGAATAGTATGATACACCAAACATACCTGATATCTAGTGTCAACAATCTTCACTGCATGGCTAATCTGGGTCCAACGCTACCCCTACCTCCTGCACTTGTCAAATGCTGGAATGATGTAAAGTAACTCAGTAACCTGGGATAGGACCCTGCATCTGATATGTCAGTTGATGGCACAGTGCAGCCAAACTGTGTCTCAGGTAGCCTGTGGCCAAAGGATGGGGCCATACCCAGTACCTGGCTCACAAGACCCTCCAGACCAGCCTCCCTAGACCCCTGCTCTCTGCTCCAGGGCCCTGAGCTACTGCAAGCTTTTGTTCTCTTGTAGACACTTGCTCCTGTAATACTGCTAGTACTCCTTCCCAGACACCCTTGGTCTCTCCCAATGTCCTCTCTGTGAGGCCTGCTACGAGTACCCTTTTTAAAACTGCAATTGCTCCTGTCATCCCGTTGCCAACACTCCTTACTCAGTTCTCTCTCCAGATTCAATTTGTTTCCATAGCATTTACCACCAGGAAAGTCACTTCCAATTTCTGCTTTGTCTCCTCATTCATTGTGTGTCTGCCCCTTCCCCACCCACCAGCATATAAGCTCCACAGAGGCAGGGCATTTGTTCAATGCTGTGTCCTCAGAGCCTAGGGCAGTGCCTGGCACACGGGACATGCTCAGGACTCATTTGTGGAATGAATGAAGGACTGCCAGCTCCAAGGTCCTAGTATTTGGAGCCTCTCTGCACTAAAACCTCGCGGCATTTTCAACTCTCTCAACCACCCAAACAGCCACAGTTTGAACGCTCCCCACCATCCTCCAATTGTTGGAGTCTGGACCATATAAGCAACTGAGTTTAAAGGGGACTCCATAGACCTGCTTTCCCAGGCCCTGTTCTCTGCTCCTGGCCTCCTGGGGAAGTCAACATGGGAGGCCCTCCATACCCACGGCTGGCTGAACACTCTCCCCTCTGAGAAAGCAGCTGCAGCCTTTGCCCTGATGCCCTGGTCCTCTTACCATTGCACTTTGATCCGAAAGTCAACACACTAGTCCTCACAAATCAGAATTCAACAGTCTACACGGCCCTGTTGGGATTGAGGGTTTCCGCCTTCCGGAGTCCATCCAGAGATAGGGAATTGGCAGGCCCTGCTTGATAAAGACTCCTAAGAAGCAAATCAAGGTCTCTGATAAAACAGGAGGTGGTGGGAAAGCCGGCCAACACCAGCTGGAACCAAGATGGCCACGAAGAACGACCTCGGGTTACTCTAACCGTTCATTATACCCTGCTTGTAATGTATTAGAACAGTAAAGGAAACTCTCACCAGTGCCATGACAGTTTACAGATGCCATGGCAGCTCCCAGAAATTACCCTTTATGGTTTAAAAAAGAGGAAGAAGCCTCAGTTCCGGGAAATCTCTACCCCTTTCCCAGGAAACTCATGAACAATCTTCCCTCCACTTAACACAAAATTAAATAGAAGGTACAAAATAAGACCCCAGAAACTCACAAAGTGCTACTCTCTGTTGCTCTGAGAGATAGCCACTGCCCTGTCCATGGGGCAGCCTCCCTTTTTCCCTTACCTTACTTCAATAAACTTGCTTTTGCTTACTCTGTCAGCTTGCTCTTGAATTATTCATTCCCTGTGCAAAGCCAAGAACCCACTTGGCCTTCAGACTGGGCTCCACTTTCCAGTATCAATCCCTGAGACTTCATCACCCCTGCTGCTGTGCCCGCACTTGCCCATACTCTCCTGCAGCTGACGTCAGTCTGCCACTTGGAGCTTTGTCCTTCCTGTCTCTTCACTACATCTTCTCGGGAACCGTGCTGGGGCTCACGTGCAGTTATCCTTATTTGACATTCCCTAGGTAGGAAGACCCCTCAAAGACATTGTGGTTCCGACAGAACTGGCAGCATATGATGTAACCTTCTTAGTGTTTGGTAAATAATGATGATTGCTATGTGAATGACTGACAAATTGCTATGCTTGTGAGGTACTATTCAAATGATCCCCCATGTAATGCCCGGACTGTAATTAAACTAATCACTTTGTTAAGGTGCCTATGAAATTCCTCTTTCTGAAGTTGATTCAGAATGTTTGAGCAAGACAGGACTGTTTTGTCAGCTACCCAAAGAGCCAGCAAGGACCTCGGTGTCCCCAAACAGGAAGTATGAGCAGACTAACGCCTGACGCAGATTGTGCAATCAGTGGTCATTAGGATACTCCCCCAGGTGCCAGAATATCCTAAAACCAAATTAGGATTTGGAAAGAGCCAGGAAGGAGAGGGCTTTGATGTCCCTGAAGGATGTAGGCTATGATGAGGTTGGAGAGGTTTAAGGAGGATCATATGCTACACCCATCCAAACTGCCCTAGGCTGGCCAGGGACACGCGTAGAAGTAGAATGGGCTGCAGGTCAGCTTGAGCCCTGCACCATGTCATGAACCAGACGTTCCCAGGACAGTACCCAAGGTAGACTCCTTCATGGCAATCCAGGATGGAAACAGGGACACTGAGCCACCTTTCCCAGAAAAAAAAAAAAAATACGACCAACTTGGAGATTGTCCTGGGGCAGGAAAGGACTGCAGGGCTGCAGCAGCTAGGGCACACGCCCTCCACGGCCTCCCCTGGAGGCATTTCCAGGCCCCAGCAGCCTTCACGGCAGCCTCCTGGGTGGGCACACGCCACTCAGGTATGAACCAATCCTGACCGGGGCAGCGCAGAGCAGACAAGAGCCTCCCCATGCCCAGCCGTGGGAAGGTCCCGCGGTTGTCTGGATGGCCTCAGCCTGCCCCCGGAGGGGCTGGTGGGAGGCCTCTCAGGAGGTTCCTGCTCCCCTGAGAAGCCTCCTTGTTCCAGCACTCATGGCTGAAGCCCTGCTCTGAACTCCAGCCTCCTTGGCAAGGGGCTGACTTCCTGCCTGGCTCTTGCCAGCCCTCCCCTATGGCAGTTACCCCTGGCAGGTGTCCTGTGGTCCTTCCTGAGCCAGTAAGGGCTCCCAGGTCTCCCTCTCATTTCTAAGTCCCTGAGCTGGGGCTTGGCATCGGGATAGCAGGGACTGGCGGCAGGGCGCAGGGTGTGTGCAGCCAAGGGAAATCCAC